ATAAGACTTTTTAAAAAACTTTCTTAAAAAACAGTTTTAAAATTTTATAAAAATTTTCCACACGTGTTTATCTCTGCTTATTATTTTACACATCGGATATAAAATTCCGCGCGATAAAAATTTTTTGAAATATTGATTGCATTTTGTGAGCATTAATATAAATGAATTTTATATTTGTATGTTACAGACAACTAGCTTCGATAACAACAACTCCGCTGTTGCGCATCAGTGCCGGTGAGTGAGAAAAACTTTTATTTAACTTTAAGGTAACGGATTCGTAGAGATTGTAGATGTAGATTGTAGATTGTAGACTGTAGATTGTAGATGTAGATTGTAGATGGTAGACTGTAGATTGTAGATTGTGAATTGTAGAGTAAGTCCGTTGCCTTAAAATGGATGAGCTAGGATAGATTAAATTAAATAACTTTTAATAAATTCTTTCGAAATGCTTTGCATCTATTGCGAAAATATATTGAAGTATTAATTTAAAAAAGAGAATCAAGAAAAGAAAATTTTTTTTGTAAATACTTGACTAGTTTATTAAATCAAGAGCACGCATTAATAATTTTAACAATTTTATCAATTTTTGATACTACTTTATTCTTATAACGCGCACTTATTTTATTCTAATTTCTTATATCATAGCTCATCCATTGTAGAATTTGTTTGTAGATATTGTTTTTAAATTTTACTTTAACTTAAAATAAAGCCAAACGTTTAATTAATTAAATAATTTGTAATATCATAAAAGTTATACACATACATGAATTTTATATTTTATTAGAAAATATAGTATATAGAAATTTGTAGTAATTTGGCTTTATTTGAGTTAAAATAAAGTTATATTCAAATATTTAAGAAACGATCGTAAAATCGAGCGATCGTTACGATGAGCGTGAAATATTTACTCTCATTTGCCGGTAATTAATCGGCAAAAGAAGGAGTGTTTATCTCCTTTTTCGATCTCTGATTAGAGATCGAGCGAGAAAGTGGCCAGAATCAACGAAAAGTAAGTTCAATTGGCCTGAAGAAAAGCTTTACGTACAATAGTACGTAATGTCGGACATTTATTTACGCGGTTAGAGAATGTAATTAGGGCACGTAATTAAAATATACGTGATCAGAGATAGGCTTTCCTCGAATAATTTCACTTAATCGAGAAATAGGATTGTTAGGGCTATTAGGTGATCATTAGGTTTTTTTCCTTTCAAATTCCTTTCTATTATGTCATGCTATTAGGTCATCATTAGGTATTCCTTTCTATTATGCCATGCTATTAGGTCATCATTAGATTTTTTTCCTTTCAATTTTTTTTTCAAAAAGTAGAGGATTGTTAGTGCTATTATGTGATTAATTTAGCTGATTTTATATTATGTATCTTTTAAGAAATCAGGAAATGTAGGCTTAAATAATATTAGGGAAAACAAATTAATAAATATATCAATAATTATATTATTAATATTAAGAATTTTTAAGGGATCAATATTTTTTGAGTGTTTTTTTATAGGTATTTTATTTATATAAGGATGAAAATTAAATTGTTAACACTCAATAATTTATATAGTAATACGAATTTTTTTGCGAAATTTTATGTACTTATCTAATACGAAATTTATGTACTTTTATGTAATACGAGATTTTTTATAAAAAATTTAAAATATAAATTTATATATTAAGCTATGTTTTAGTAATATGAATAATAAATTTCGTATATTTATGAATTTATAAGTTATTTTTAAATATAGAAATTGAAAGATTTAAAATAGAATTAAGAATGAATAGAATTTATAGAATTTATAGATATTAAAGAATGAATAGAATTTATAGAAAAAGATTTATTATTAAAATTCCAAAAAAAATTTTGATTTAAATAATATTTATAAATAATAACTTTTCGAAAATTTATATATTCATTTATTTATATATTTATGGTTTTAATTTAAATAATAATTTTTACAAAATTTATATATTTATATACTTATATATACATTTAAGGTTTTAGTTTAAATAATAATTTTTATATAAAATTTATATGTTTATTTTCTTATATATAGATGTTTGTGTATTTATGTATTTAAAATTTTAATTTAAATAATAATTTTTATAAAATTTATATATTTATATATTTTTTGAGATATATATAATTTCATTAATTGTATTTCATTAATTTTATTTATATAAATTTATCTAAACAGCTTATATTATTAAAGTTTAATATCGAAGATATTAAGAAAATTATTTTTTTCAGATATTTGTGAATATATATTGAATGTATATAATATTGAATATATATAATATTGAATATTATGTATATTATGTATAATATTATGTATAATATTATATAATATTATGTATAATATGTATATAATATTGAATATTATGAACACATAATAGGATAGTAGTTTGTTAGGGCTACTCCATATAATGCTCCTTATGCACATGGTTCCGGGGACTTGCCCGTTGGAAGACTAAGGAAAGGCGCGTGGGGTTTTTAGTTGGTAGTCCCTGCCGTTAAAATGGCGGCAGGGAGAGCCCAACACTACCCCGACGGGACCGCTAAAGCTATAGCGGTCCCGTCGGGGTGTGCATAAGGAGCATTTTCCCCACGTAAAAAAAAAAAAAAAAAAAACTTGTTAAATTATGTTGTATTACATTTCAAATTATATTATATTTTAATAATGAATTTCAACAATAAATAACATAATATCCGATATAAATAATACCGTGCCAATGATTTTGTTTTACGGTCTTGTTATGCAAATTTAAATTTATATACTATATTGCAAACTAAATGCTGCAATTGTATATATTATATTATATATAAAATTATATATAATATAACCCTCCCATGGGGTACACCTTGTTGCGGTGGGAGGGCTTAGTACTTGGATGGTGTCTTGAGATTTATCTTAAATTTTTCTATTTATGATAAATCTTAAGGTGCTTGAAAGCTAAGTACCCTTTCGTAATAAAAATATTATGCTGGTAAGAAAATTATAATAAAAGTATACAAATAATGTTGACTATATTAGAATTGAACATATGAATTCTTTATATTTTATATAAAGGAAGAGATATTTAAAATATTTTGCAACATATATTTTTCGAATCTTAATTATAAAAGCTTCAGAAGAATCAGTGATTACCCATATAGCACAGAAGCTTGCTGCAACGTTGCTGCAATGTTACAATATTACTCACTGCAGTGTAATGTTGCTGCACTAATGCAGAGACATTATTTTGTAATATTACTTTGGCAATGTTGTAGCAACGTTTTAACATAGCGAAAATGTATAACATGTGTTTCTTTACTTGCCGCTACGCGGTGACACCCAATTTAACTAACTCGTATTCGAATTCATTTAAGATGGATATAAGGTCTACAAAGGATTAATGTAGTAATTATATTTCTTGTGTCAGTTTAATTTCTGGCGATAAACTGACTTGATTTACTTAATCCTAATGAGGGATCTAGATATTAAACAAATAATTTATTTAATAATCTGGATCCTTTATTGGATTTCAGAATATTAAACAGATTTTTCTTAATTGAAAATAGAAAATAATAGAAAATAATTAATTTATTGCACATATTAAAATATTCTGATGTCGAATGTATGTAAAATAATTATATGCAATATTATTGAGATAAATATTTAAGAAACATCTAATAAAAACACTAATAGATGTTTTTTTAAAGGCATTTTTTCCTATCTTTCTGACACAAACATTTTTTTATATTTTCAAAGTTTATTTATTAAATTTAAAACGGTGTCTGCATTTGTAGCAAAACGTGTTTTAATATTACAAATACGTTGCACCGTAACATTGCTGCAATATTGCATTGCAATATTTCTACAAGCGGACATTTTACCGTTGCTGCAATATTGCAGCAACGTTGCAGCAATATTTTGCAACATTTCTGCAATGTTGCAATTTTGCAAAGAAATATTTCTGCAATGTTGCTGCAATATTTCTGTGCCGTATGGGTACTTTAACAAATTCTATACATGTATTAATAATTACATTTTTAAATAATTAAAAAAAATGATTGATAAATATCAAAGATCATTTTACTGCTAATTAAAAAAATTTATAGAAATACGGTTAAAAAGGTTTTTATTCGACAACAGACATTTTGTTTTTTTGTAAATAAAAATATATAAATATGACATTGAATGTATAGAAAGATATTTATTTTATCTTTGAACATTACATTGGAAGATCACAGTATTTTTCGGGATTGAAGTCAAATTTTAATTTCTTACTTTGTGATACGACATAAATAGATATGAATCAATTAATTAAATATATATTATATTTAAATTTTTCAATGTTAACATATCTTTCGAAAAGAGATAATATATCTGTATTTATGTACACATAGAATATATATATGTAATTCCAGCGCGTGTATTTCATGTAATGTTTTAAATTAAATATATATATATATATATATATATATATATATATATATATATATATTTCTAAACATAACGTAGATATTTCAGAATAAAGTTGTAGCGTTATACTATATATACACATATATATATATATTATATGTGTGTGTGTGTTTATTTGTGTATGTGTAGAAAAAGAGAGAGAAAGGGAGAGAGAGAGGACCACAAAATTTATTTAAAAAATTAAAATTAAAAATTTATTTATTTTTATATACATATGCGTTTTGCTATACAGCACTGATGGCATTTCGTGTACTACAGGCATTTTTTACATAGCACGGAACAGAATCAGAAATTGTGCACATATATGTTACTCTCTGAGAACTTTTGTGGATTTTGGCTTTGTAGTTCATGTCCACGTTTTTTAGATTAACTGAGGGCGTATCGCTTTCAATCGCCAAACGTCAAATAACTGTCGATCGCTTAGAGATTCAAGCAGTTTTCTTGTTTATCAACTGTAAATCTAAATATCGAGCGGGCGATTATGAAGGAATTTACCTTGTCGACTTGTGCAAATTACGTATTCTTCTCTCGAAATATCGACAATGTCAATATGTTATTTTTATTGTATTGCGTAGAAGATGACAGAGTTCGTTTAACATATTAATCTCTCTGATATTAATTTCTGCACAAAATGTTTTGCAATGTCTCCGAAATGACTGCTTCATTCGGAGACGCTGTAAATGATGGCACAGCTTCTTCGAGTGTGTAAACCGGAAATCTGTTATGTAGTTAGAAGTTATGGAACTCATAGGTTAGTTATTCTATTAATCCATTTTGCTGTTAAACTTTTACAATAAACCTGTTTTTTTTTACCTTATTTTCTATATACTTTTTTGTTTTCTTTTCTTATTTCTCTCTAATGTATAATGGGAATATATATTTCATTTTGAGTATTAAAAATATAATATACTCGTATATTGTTGTATCACTATAAAAAAAAAAGATGGATAATATTTTCAATGTAATATGTAATTTCTTTTTAAGATCTCAACCTTCAAATCATTATGAAACCTTAAATGTTTCATCCAATGCATCACAGAAAGAAATCAGACAAGCTTTCATCAGATTGTCAAAACAAGTATGTTATAAATAATGTTATAGATATTTATTTTTAATGTGTATGAGATTTAAAAATAAAAATAAAAATACTTTTTAACTTGTCTGATATAATAAAATCACATACAATGTACTTTTTCAGCTTATTTTAGCTGTTTTTATATTTTTAAATAATATAAAGTTAATAATATAAATTGCATATTTTGTTTTTCTAGCTGCATCCTGACACTAGTGGAAAACACAGTCATGCTGACTTTGTAAAGTTGAACGAAGCTTATTCGGTTTTGGGAAAAGAAAATACCAGACGCAACTATGATTTAGACTTGAAATATACTAAATACAATCCATCCTATACATATAATACACAAAACAGGTAAAATTTGAATAATATTTTAAAGGAAATTGAGTAAATGTTGAATGCAAAACTCCTCTATTCAATTTTTCATTTAAACTTGCATATTTTATGTAATCTATATAGAAAATCTTGAAAAAAAAACATTGTAAGTGAGCGTCGAGTAATTAAAGATGCACACGCAATATGTAATATTATTAAAAATTGATCAATGACTATTACAATATTTCATAATTAATGATAAAAATTGTTATATAATATTTGTTTTTCTTATATTTAACATATATATTTAAACTGCATTCGATTTGGCGCTATAAATGCTCGTGAAGCGTTTGACCAATTAGGACAAAGATTGCTTTGCTCCAATAGGTCAATCGAATGATTCCAACGTTTATAGCGCCAAATCGACCGCAGCTTACAATATATGTATATCACAAATATAAAATGCAAATATATAACAATTATATTATAATAGTTATTATTATTATTATTGTGATGACACGAGTGATAATTGCGAAAAATTTAGACCTTCGATAATTGAGATCCGTAAAACGCTTTGAATGATACGTGAAAGGATAAGAGAAAGGAAAAAATTCTCGTATGTAAATGATTACGTCATGAGAGCTAATTTTACAAACGCGGAACTGTACCACAGCATTTTGATCGGAATGCGGAATCGGGACTTGAGATTTTTTCATCTCGTTTATATGGTGTATTGTGTGCAATTTTTTAATAATATCGGGACGCCTATAGTTATAGATTGTGATCGAGATTGTGATATCGAAGGATCGGTTAATCAGTGCGATTAAACTACAATAACAGTCATAATTGTATCGGTTATTATATTAGAGTTATAAAAATCATTTCGTATTTGTGTTATAATTTTGCATAGAAAGAAATAAACATCGTCTGCAAGTAAATGTATAATATATATCGGGAGTGACGAGAAAAATATATCGGGCAATTATCGTATTATACATTGATTGATAGGATATCTCATTGATTATGTGAATGTGTGACAGTTTTATCAAATGAATTTCGCGCGATTGTAGTTTCAACCATTATGTTAAACATTTTCGCGCGATTGTAGTTTCAACCATTATGTTAAACATTAATAAAATCATCGAAAAGATTTCACTTTTTCTCTCGTCTACAACTAAACGTGTTAAAAACGGGTTAAAATACCGAAAAAAGTATTGGACGATTCTTATTATACGTTGATACAGCATACGCGTCGATAGTGAAATGTGTGATAGTTCCGTTAAGTAAACTCCGTGCGACCGTAAGTGCAAATATTATTAAATGAATAAGGACCGGTTTCACAACTCGAGTTAACTCGAGTTTAATACGTTAAACTAGGTCCTGATTAGTCCATTCGTTACTTAAACTCGGGTTAACTGGATTGTGGAACCGGCCCTAAATGTGTAATTCAAAAGCGCAAATACCTTTATTTAGAATTTATTTAATGATAATAAGATATAAATATTTTTAGCTTTAAAATTTATAGTAATGTTAGATGTGTATGATCATATTTACTTTCTTAAAACACATAAAATATGCATATAAATTTCAAATAAATTGAATTAGCTCCTATATTATACATTCATCGAATATTTGAAGAGATGATTATATTAATTTATTATGTAACATAGAAACAATTGTTATTTGTTAGATTTATACATCACTAATATTTTCTATTTTCATAAAAAATCTGTAAAAATTTAAAATTTTCAAAACTTAACACATTTGTACTTGCATATATTATTTTCAAAATATACTTTAAATGAATCCTAATTCAATGATTATTTTCAGTGATTATTGTAACACTGAGAAACAGAATATTCTGAATAACGTTTTTTTTTGAAAAAATTACCTAGAGATTTATTTTTACAATTGGTTCTACATTGTATAACTACATGTATAAAGGTATAATATAATTGATAAAAAATGGAATATATTGTTTTAGGCAATATGGGAGTCGATGGGAATATGAGGTGCGTACAGCGGGAGGACCATGGCCACCACCTAAACAAAATCCAAATGCATATTTCGGTCAGCTAATAGCTTTTCTGATCTTTACATTGGGGTTGGTACACTTTATATTTATGTATCATTCTCTAAAGATAAGAAAGATTTTGATTTTGCAAAATAGTGAATTGGAAAATAAATACCAAAAGATTAGAAGTATCGCACATAGTAAATCCAATAATAATCAATATATCATAGAAAATATTAACTCTGCAAAGGAGTTTAGCGAGTACCTGGCTAAGAGTAATGATTGATTCTTGAATCATGAATATATTAACAAAAACTGAATTAAAAAAGTGTCAGTTATTGTATCACATAGTGTTCTTTTTCCACATCTTTTTTCTTGGAATCCTTTTCCACTCTATTAAAAATAAAAATAAACATAAATTCCTATTTATGTGATAGAGAAGAAAACTTCTTTATACTCTTTTTTTTTTATTAGATTTTTCTTACAGACTTATTTACTTTAAAAAAGAAATTTAAAAAGTGTCATATAACATATTAAATACAAGACAAGAAATACATAAAAGTATAGAATGTTGTTTCCATTTATTAATTATGCTTGAAACAATTCTATTAGTGTATTTTTTACTCATAATTGTGTGTGCATTTAAAGATATTTGCTTTATCAAGAAAAGATAAAACAGAATAATTTTCTCTATGTATATATATCAATTATATATCTTTAATATTTTCTTGTCAAATTAAACTTATTATCGTTTTCAAGAATCAACTTTTCATTATAATTTCAATTTTTAATTTAATCTCTTTTTTTAATTTCTTTCTTATTCTCTTCATAATTTCTTTATATAACTGACGACTGCTGTATGAGGCGAAGAAGGTGAAAAGATTGGTTTTCCTTCTTCATCCACGTAATCGCTATAATTGAGTTTGTATGTCGTGTCAAAACCAATTCGTTCACAAAGTTTGCCGGAGAATGAAGACGAGCAATCCGCCCTAACATAATGAAATCCTTGCTCCTTTGCAATTTCTCTGCAAAAGTAGACAAATAAAAAATATATCGCTTGAACACATCGTTGAGCTCTAAACCTATTATTAAGCTATACTCACAGCGTTTTTTCTATGAGAGCCTTTGCAACGCCTTTTCCTCTCCAATTTGTATCTACTGAAATTATTTTGATCTCCAAGACGTTTAAATTTTGAAATCGTCCACTCACATTCACATTTTTATCTACATAATGCAGTAGCTTCAGTATTTTTTTAAATTTTGCATTTTTACATGACTCTATGTATTCTGGCTCTTCGTCCGGTGGAGGCTCTGATTTACCTATAGAAAAAATAAGATATAAATTTTTTATATAATTGTATATAATTATATAAATTCTTTATGTAATTATTTTAAATGCGTATAATAGCGATAATGTATGCAATATGTGTTGCTTATAGATAGAACTATCGTTACCATTAATACGCAGTTATTAAGTTAAGATAATTGATTGAAAGTTCCTTTTCCCATGATGTAAATTATTTGCAATCATTAGCAGTTATTCATGATGTTTCTAACGTAATAGATTTTTATTTAATTCTGCTTGGATTTTAATGCTCCACATATAAGGTTTTGAAAATAATATTAATAAATATAGTTCGATACTTATATATATATATAAGTATACATTATATATATAGCACATATATGCATACAGCTACGCACGGTGTTTACATATTACTTTAACGACGTCTGCTAATTACCAAATTAAGCCATGAATTAAATTAATAATTGCATAATTGGTATAGCAGATAACGGTATATATGATACAGTTAAAAGTAAAAAAGAGAGAAGAAAAATATACTTTCATATATAGAATAATTTAACTCTTTTTCAGTTTAAAATATAATAATTTATTTATTGCAATATATATTACAATTTATTTATTACAATATATATTATTACAATATAAAAAATTTAGTTGAAAAAATGAAACATTTCAAATTCATTTTTCACTTTCTATTAAGGAAAGAAAAATCTATTCTAAAAAAATTATTTGGATAATTGTATAGAATAATATATAATAATATATTATATATAACAATAATATATTTTTTTATTAGCTGACAAGATAAAAAATATCTAAAAAAATCAAATTATTTTTTGAATTTAAATATATTTAAATTATCTTTTCAGTTTAATGAGAAAAGATATTTTTTTTTCTCTTTTGTAAGAATGCGTTACCTTCTACTTTTATGAATTTTACAATGAAATTACTGATCATATTAAAAGATTAAATGCACAATATCTGGATAGACATAGTTAATATTTTTCTTTAACGTTATAAATCGTAATATATAAATCTATCAATGAATTCCGATATTATTTTTGAAAACATAATATTTTTATAATCTTTTCACATATAGAAATATAATACTCTCTTTATTTAAAAATGTTACTTTGAAAAAACAAATTTTAATTAAAAAATACCTATTTTAAATCCAATTGTACCAATGTTATTTTTACTTTAAGCGAGACTTAAATATGTCTCTTTTTATTTAGAAAGAAAAATAAAAATAGACTCATATTTACGTCTCGCTTAAATCCAAACTAATATTGATGGTTTTAGTTTATATGTTTTCATGTCATTGACTTAAGCTTTTACTTATCTTTTTCTTGATAAATATTTTTAATGTTTTATACCGTTAGTATGAAACAGAGCGAGAAACGAGACTTATTTGCAATGCATAATTTCCACTTCTAATTTTCGAATATCGGATAAGCTTATTTGCATATCTTACAAGCATTTAAATGGCAATATATATATTTATCAACAGATAAATCTGTGCTGCAATTGTTTTTATAGTCATAACTGGTATCGAATTAATAATTCACGAGATTGAAGATTTGTAAGATTTTACGTAATACCGATGATTTTACGTAATACCGAAGTACCGTTGGATTTCCTTAGTTTTTTTCTTTGCATTTATTTGAATATGCGATAGATCTCCAATTAAGTGGTAATTTTTGCATCTATTCTATCGAGCTACGTGCGTATTAAAGGAAGATGAAAATAAATGTATATAAATAAATATATATAAATGTATATAAATAACGATATATGCATCAATTTGTGATCATAGTTATAGGATATCAAAATCAACAAGAATATTTAATATTATAGATTATAGAACATTTAATGTAATATTATACATTATAAAATATTTTCAATCACTTTAATGATACCAGCAAAATCAAAGCAAGAACACTTTCAAAGATTGATAATTCTTCCTTTTTTTGTAGCATAATTGAAAAAAAATTATTCGTCTTCGCAAATTTATTTCTAAGAAGTCTTATGCATAGAAACTTATTTCTATGCAGAATGACTAACACTCTATACTCAAAAAATACATCAACATGATTTTTTTAGATTATGTAAAATGTATGAAAAGTTTATTGAAATTCATTGTAAGTGCATCAAATAAATTCATTATAATTGCAATTGCATCAAACAATTCATTATAATTGCAATGTTTTTTTTGTAAGATTTAAAGAGAAGATGTGTTTACAAGTGAAGAAATTCCCGTTTCATAGAGCATTAAATCATACGAATAAGCATATTTTCATCTTCCTCTAATTCTACTCGATTGAGATGTTAAAATTACCATATATATACAATTTAAAACTCTCGTGTACGAATAAATATATACGGAAAAAGCTGAAAAAATACAAAACATAAAATTACTGTTGCGATCTTACCATTGAGCAGAACACCAATTATTGCACCACTCGCAGTAACTGCCATTAGACTCAAGTTATTTTCAAACGATGAATGGCTGCAATAATCTTCCAATTCGTCGCAAGTACTGTCCTCGCCTTCCGGAATCAATTGAATACTCTGATTGAGCGGTTCGTCCCTGAAGAAGAACCTTCTCAAGAATTTTAACACCTTTAATTTATCATCCTTGTTAATCATCTCGATGTGATAGTCCATACCACTGCTCAATCCATCGGCCGAATCGGCCAACTAAAATAAGAAATGTTACCAAATTAAGGATAATATGTAATGAGTTGAATGTAAGAGAGTTTATAGAGAAATTCTTATTTAATAATAATTTATTTAATTTTTAATTAATATTTGAAAAAGAAAAGATTGCGATATATTTTTTTATTTAAATTTTATAATATATATAAAAATATATATAAAATATATATAGAAATTATTAAAAAATTATTCGAAATTGGTTGATATTTTATAATGAATCGAACAGTCGATATCCTATTCTGAAATTATTTTATAAACTATTAGCATCGAATGTCATTATTTATAGTATACATATAACATAGATGAAAATATTTTAATTAAAGCTTTATATATACTTTTGATAGGATATTGAGTTGATGTAAAAAACAGGTAATTATAAGAATAGAAAATTTAACATAATTTATATGAAAAACTAGCATAATTTTGAGGTAGAGAATTCGGAAGAGACTTTCATACATGAGAGTGTTTTCCAACTTGTTACACTAAATGTCGACGATGATGCACGTGTGACATTCCTATTTATTCGACTCTATTTTATTACGTTGATCGGTCGTTGAGCAGTCAACGTCATTCAGTGCTAATTCGTCATTGATCTACTTCTAGACAGTGATTTACAAGAGTCGATAAGATCGTTCTTGCGTGTGTAACATGCGTTTCGGCACGAGCTTCGCGAACAGAGATTTAAAAGAAAACTGTAAAAAGTTTCTCTATAACAGGATATTTATTTTTAAATTTTAATCATTTTGAAGATTTAAGATTATGAATTTTATTTTTTAAATATTACCGTAACATCACGACACATTTAAAATAAATCTTAAATGTGCAAAACTCTTTTGCCTTGAATGTTATGATATTCGCGTGTAGTTCGAAATGTCCTTCCTCCGACAAATTATTTCGAAGATAAGATGTTAAGTAATGTGCTAATAATATTTGTCGCAATTAAGGTAACCGGTACCTGAGCATTACGCGTCGTTGCGTTTCTAAGGATTTGCCTTTGTCATCATTTGACTTACGTCATATCAAGGGTAGCTCATCCTTACTTGCACTAGGAAGATTTTATTTCAACTTCTTTCAACGTAATTAATAATCTGCATAATAATCTCGTATTTCAGACAGTTGCCGTGGGAAAATGATTAGATCATCGCGCTGGACATTTTATCATACGAAGAACAAAGAATGAAATATATTCACCCTTTCTCTCTTTTTCTCTCTACATAAAAGTATGATTTATTTCTTGAAAAGAATGTCATCGTATTTAATGACTCCAAATTGTATTGTAATAAAATGTCGATATGATAAGCACGAATCATATTCATTCATATGATACATTTAAATTAAATATTTAATAATTATTTTAATTATTATATTTTAAAATTCGGATTTTTTTAAACTATTACAATACGATGTTCAATTGCTAATCTCAATTTTTATATTATTTCAAATTTATCTTCAATTTCTTATTTGAGTTGATCCACCCTAATTTCTTACCGAGTATCTCATAATTTTTGGTGCTTTTTTTACGAAACTGGTAGTGGTTTTGTCGCTGTCGATATGCATCGCATCAACTAGATTTGATGCATGTACTTCCTCCATGATGAATAATAGAAGATTCACGAATTTTATTGCACTTCTTCGTTCAATGAAATAATATTCGAAAATTGTTCGACCGCGAGAACGTCGTTGTATAAATTGCGTGTTGCTCGTAGAAGCAAGTTCCAAGCACAATGCTCGGGTGCTATCGTCGAACAGTAATCTAACACTGCATTGTGATAGCATGCTGTCTATCTTATATATATATACGCTCAGCAGCATAAGGCGTTCTTGCAGGTTCAGGGACAGACATAGCTTAGGATACTTGGGATTGGAAACGCCTCCGTTCACATTTTAATATAAAAGCGTATCTATTAATAATATGTCTCAATCATGACTATCATCATGATAATAATTATGCGAAAGCTTTGTAATTTTGCTACAATATATTATCATAAACTAGATTTACGTCTTTACTAAGTAACATTGAAAGCATAAGATTCTTTCAGATGAAAATTTCGGAGGAATATATTGAGCAATAATTTTTCGATTATTTCTTGAATAATATAAACATTTTTTTATTGATAAACATTTCATATTTTATATTTTATATGTTTTAACTTAAATGTATAACTTCCTTTATTTACGTTTATGTTATTAGAATATACGAATAAAATTTAATATTAAAAACTTTTATAGATAAAAATAGATTGCATGAGTTCAGTGCGTGATTCTACGTTGCATGTAGATAGATAATAAACCGCAGGACGATATGATTTCGGATCGGTTTGCTATTTAGAATTTAAAAATATAAAAAATATACCATCGCGTGTTGTATACAAAATCGGAGAATAACTCCCGTTTGATGTTGCTGTTTGACGTAACATGGGATATATTGTAACGCGACGCATATTGTAAGAAATAATGAACGTTAATTGATACATCCATATATTTTTAACACTCAAACGTAGTTGTTTTATTATACGTATATGTGAGACACGCATTATCTAACATCAAAAAGCGTTTAAATTAACGTAAAATTAATATTTATCTTGCACTTGTATGCACATGTTTCTTGGAATGAGACGGAAAGTATTACAAATAGATCCGTCGAATACGAGTCCGACTTGCCTATTTTTATCAAATCGACATATTTCTACATGTTGTTTGAAGCGAATAGAAAGCATGTGAAATTAATATTGCTTCATTATTCGCAATTTATTATCTGCAACTTTAAGATCGATTCGACATTATTGGTCCGCTCACGGTCCGATCACGGTCCGATCACGGTCCGATCAAATATTCTTCCATTGTTTATAAATGTACGTATTCACATTATGTCTCAAATATGAAATCAACAGTTGAGCATGCACAATAGGCGCCAATAACGCCTTAACATATAAAATTGGTCGCATTCGGGATTGATAATTAGTTATTATTAAGTTATTATTAGTCTCGAATGCGATCAATTTCATATGTTAAGGCATTATTGGCGCCTACTATACATGAATACATACATTTATAAATAATGGAAGAATATTTGATCGAACCGTGAGCGGAGCGTGAGAAGAGAGTGTAAATCTATTCTTAAAATAACAGTAAATCGAACAATCGTTATCGTAACAGCAATCTATCTAGTTATTGTAATTTGAATTGTACGGTGTGTACGGAAATCAAAAAGTCGGTTTGCCATAAATATGAAGAATAACATCTTCTCTATACATTTTTATGGCATTTGCGTTGAGGTCGTTTACGCCCAGTACAACAGTACGATTGTATATATAAGTGTAGAACGGGACATGTTAAACATGATTGGTCACTCCCGTTAATCTCTCGGCACGAAGGTCACTAATGATCACAATCGTATCTGAAATAGGACTTTACAGATCATAATAACAAGGATCATATATAATTCAAGATTAAGACTATCCTTGTTCTAAATATATAGGATTGATTGATTCTCTCGCCATCAATTAATTCCGAAAAGCAAAAATAAATTTATAAACACATGACATTAATACACATATACAAAATGTGCAAAAATGTCTATGAGAGAATTATTTATATAAAATGTCGTATTAACATATGGACAACATATTTAAAATCCATGTTAAATTTTTTTGCAACAAAAATCGGGAAAAATGATAATTTTTACATAATTTACAGATTAAATATAATTAAAAATTATTCGTTTTCGATACAAAACGATCAGCTTTTGTAAGCTCTGTACAACTTAAGTCACCACTGCTAATGAACCAGTATCGTTTAGCAATGGTGATTTAAATTGCATGGAGGTGCGGCAAGAATTGTACGAAGCATCATGATCGCATCATGATCGCGTTCTTTGATCACGACATTCGATAAGCGAAACTATCGATAAACGATCGACAATGAAATATAAGTCTTTCTTGAACATTCTCTTTGTTTTTCCTCGAACCGGATGCAGAAACGACTCCTGAACAAATATTTTAAATAGAGCCTTCGCGTTCGAGTAAGAAAAGAATAGTATGGTCGATGTATAATAAAATTTTATCGTACGAAAAACGGGAGCCTTTAGCAGATTTATTAGAATAGCGAAAAATTGAGATTATCCTTGAAATGCAAGGTGAATCATATATTTCAAAAGTATCAATCGTTTTAAATTTTCTCTCGTTAGTGATTAATGCAAATTTTTGTATTTTCTTAGATAATTTCATACAAGGACTAGAATTTTTACACTCCAAATTATTGCAATTTTTGCTATTATATCTTTATGTACGATATTAATTTCTTATATTATTTTCTCTTAGTCAAGAATTTTTAGTTTAATGCTAGAGGCATGAAAGTCGATCGTTTCTCGATATATCGTATATCTACTAGTGAATCAAGTATCTCGATATTCAAGGCAGAATTTTGTTTCATTATTTTATTTCATTATTTTTTATTATTACAAATTATTTTACATTTATAATAAATTATTTATAAAAATAAAAAAGAAAAAATACATTAAATAAACATAAAAAATTGCCAATAAATGATATTCGCTGCAGTCGAAAAAAATATATTGAAATTACGCGATAATTTAAACGTAATTTAAACGTAAATTCGATATTCAATCCGTTCAATTAAATTAAATTGATGTTTGATAAAATAACCGCAAGTGCACATTCCTTAGCTGGAATTAATTGATTGTGACTTTAATCGGACTTCAATTAAAAAGGGGGAAGGTCAATTTTACCATGTTGACTTAACACGCGCCTATATTTGAATGGTTATATTTAGCGCACCTTCAGAGCGTTTCATGAAGCCGTTCGTCTTACTGCGATCGTAACGTACTATGCGTTTTGATAAATCGGTTTTAAAGCCGCTATTATAGATGGAATACTATGGCCTTGAGTGAACGGTCAATAGGATTATGTTTTTGCTATTGCGTCTATCGAATACATATTATATACCATTCATGACGCGGATAATACTTCAGTAATACTTCAGTAAAAACAAAATATTTTTAGATACATGATCAGACACACCTTTCCGTTTATATGATAAAAACAAAAAAGAAGGCATCACATGTGTAGTATTTTGTTCTTTAGCTTGGCTAGAGATTCAAAGTAAAAATTTATATTTATTAGAGATTGTAATTCTTATTAGATTGTATCACATTTTTTAGAATAGAAAAGAATACTGTTTCAAGAAATTTGAATACTCTGCAAATAATCTTTTTTAAAGAAAAATTAAGATCTGAGAAATTAATTATGAAAATAATAAATAGTATATTAAAAATCATAACGATCGGAATAAAAATGAGACAGATTTAGATATCTAGGATTAAGTACGATTTAACATACAAGTAAGTAATGCCATGTGATTTTGTGATGAATAAATTAATTATATAAATGAACTAAATTAATATTAATAGTTTATATCAGCTTTAATAAACTGCTAGAAAATGATACCAATTTAATGAATCTTACGTCAATTTCGATATCTTTCACATCTGTGCTTTTGCATATTCCTTATCGTGCGAAAAAGATCAAATTATACCAATACATAAAATCTGGCTCTACTTATTTGGTCATTATTCGTATTTAATATTTTGTATTAGAAAAATCAATATCAGAAAAAAAAAATATATTATTAATTGAAGTTTGTATTTTAAACATAAAAATTTAAATTATTAAAAAGAGATTAAAATATTTAAAGCCTGCAACTGTCTGATGTTTTAGTTTTTTTAAATAAATTGAAATTTGCAAGACATTATTTATTTTAAAATTAAAATCGTGTTGATCATCTGCATATGTTGACGAACAAGTTGTCTTCGACGTGGCTAATGTAACACTATCCTTCGTGAAATTTGATTCACGACTGTTTCAAAATGAACTAAATAATCATACGATGTATCGTATAACATATAACCAATAGATTTAATAATTTGCAATTTATTTGTTAGATTGTTAAATAAAAATAAAAATTTTGTTACAGATATATATTAAAATCAATATCATACATATATTTATTAACTAAGATTGTGTTAAAAGTCAATCCAACTTTAGTAGCTTAAATCATCAGAATATTATAGTAACTTGAGAATCATCTACATTTATGTCTGTTTTCTAAGGCATTTAAGTCTATCGAATCTCCTTGAAATTATTTTGCAGGCTAATATTGACATTATATTGCACGCAAGAATTAAACTGTTTACTAGACAGATCTACTAGACAGATACTAGATGCATACTGATGTGAGAACGCGTATAAATTCGAACATTTAAGTAAAGTACAGTTATATAGCACAAGATGTATTTTTAAAATAAACCAATCATTCCTGCTTGATCAACCGTAAAAAGTAAAAAAAAATTGTTAATAAAAAATCAATTTTTATTATTTCTTTTATTAGCTCTTTAATTTTATTCTTTCAAATAAATGTATATTTGATAGAAAAAGAGGACGGAAACATTATAATGTAAGAAAAAATAGCTATTCTATTATATCAATCCATTAATTTTTTTTATGTAATGAATTCACATTAGATGACTAGAAACATATAAAAGACAATGCTCGTTTTCGCTAATATTTTGTTCTCCATACAATATCAATACCATCCAGAGTTCTTAAATAGACTAAATATATATAAAAAATTGCATACAAAATGCTTCAATATGTTTATTATTTTTTTACATGCATGTGTGTGATTTAAGATTAGATTTAAAGTAATCTCAATATATATTTGTATTTTATATATGCATGTATATAAAAATAGCAGCACA